AATTTTCCACTTAGAAGGCAAACATTAGGTTTTGTAACCAGTGGTTGAATGGCTCCACAGACTATATAAGGGGATCTTCAAAAAGTTCACGGAAGATGAACATTATGGAAACACTATATGTGGATTTCAAAAATGGGGTTTTGCACCAAAATAAATTCATATTAACCTGGTATAACATGTCTGTCTGCTCTAGTTTGAGGCCTAAGGAGTAAGAAAGACAGCAGTTCTAAAAGAGTCCCTGCTGAAGCAACATGAATTGTTACAATTTAAGGAAAAACAAATATCAAATTTATTGTAAAGCTTATGTGGACATGGCCCCAAAGAAATTAGCGATTTGCGACTGGATAACTAGTTAATGGAGTCCTGGTGCGATGCTGTAGGATAAGCACTGGGTCAAAAGGTCAGCAGTTCAAACTCACCAGCTGCTTCTCAGAACCCCTTTACAGCATTGCTATGAGTCTGAACTGACTCGACAGCACTTAACATGTAGTTTAAAGGAATGAGATGGTATTGAAGGTGAGGCCCCCATCAGTTTGTAAGGAAATGATTTTATCCATGCCTTAATTGAAGGGAACCAATAATTAACAGCAGAAACAATAGCCAACACCATAGACATCTCAACTGACTCAGTTTTCTCCATTTTGGCTGAAAAATTAATGTAGAGCAAACTTTCTGCTTGATGGGTACCAAAACCGTTGCATCCAGATCAGCTGCATACAGGAACAGCGCTTTCATTGGAAATTTTAAACAAGTAGGATCAAGATCCTGAAGCATTTCTTGAAAACTCCTTCAGCTGTGCCTTTGTAGCATGAGAAGAGCCATTACATACATGAACAGCTGTGGCTGCCCACCTGTCAAACTTTCCTTACAAAGCCAGCAGTGGTTCGAGGTTTGTTGACTTATGTACCTTACATCAACAAAGCTCCAGAGTCAACTCCCAAGGGATTGGAAAGACATGACTGAAATGCTGTGGAAACTATACTGTTGTTGTTGTTAAGTACCATGGAGTTGGTTCCGACTCACAGTGACCCTGCACAGGGTTTCTGAGACTATAAATCTTAACAGGAGCAGAGCGCCTCATCTTTCTCCCACGGTTGGCAGCCCAGCTTGTAACCACTGTGCTACCAGAGCTAACTGTACTACAGGTATGCAAATTCAGGACGGTAGGAAACTAGTACAAATGTGATGGGGTTTCTTTAAAAATAAATTGCAAAAGGAGATGATAGGAGAATTTAAAACATAGGCAGGACTTTGCCATAGTGGTTAGGGAGGCAAGACAGGTAAGACTGAAGGACACTGAGGAGAATTGGGGAAGATGTAGCTCTTGGTTTGGGAAGGTGTAAGAAGTAGACTTTTGATCTAGGATGTTTGGAACCACTGTTGCAGGCACTGCGTCAGTCTTTCTAGTTGGGGGGTCTTCCTCTTTTGTGATAACCCTTTACCAAGGCACTGGGTGCCTTGGAGAATTCTTACATGATATTTGTATATGTAACTTTACCAGTACCAGCCTGAAGACAAAGCACAATCAAAGCAATGACTACCAAGAGGCGGTCGTTGTTAAACCCTTTATAGGGTTTCTGAGGAGTGGCTAGTGGATTTGAACTGCTGATCTTGCAGTACAGTACTTAGAAGTGGTCTAATCAAAGCAAAAGTGTGCCAGTTAAGAGCAGAGGTCATGACAAGAGTTTTTTGTGGTGTTCAGAGGTGTGCCTGACCCGAGCCATGGTGTTTTCCATCACTTCATATGCCAACAATGAATAAGGAAGACTGGACAAGAATCTCCAGCCAAAAAACATAGAAGCAAAGGTGGCAGGATTTCATCTCGTGTTCTCTTGAGGGACCAGTTCCTTGAGAAGGACAACATGCTCTGTAAAGTAGAGGATCTGTGAAAATATAAAAGGAAGATCCCTACCCCCCACCCTCAACGAGATGGATTGGCACAATGGCAGCAACAGTGGGCTCGAATAATAATTGTCGTTTGGCTTGTTGATTTTCTGGAAGGCCAAAGAATGATACCATCTGCTTCCTCTGAGGCTTTTGAGAAAGTTAACCAAAGGTTTAGTAAAAAAGCACCCAGGAAAGCTTCACCAGAGAGCCCTTCTCACCGAGACAAAACTCTCAATGGGAAACCATTAGGCACCCACATCACAGTCCCAGTTTGGCTTCCTGCAACTTCTTTTATGTTTCCCAATCTTAAAAAAATCCTTAAAGGGCACTCACTTTTCTTCAGTTGATAATGTGGACAAGATTGCACTGACAGGTGGTCACATTCCCGGAACCCTCAGTTCTTTAGGGATAGACTAAGTGGCTGGGATTGGCCCTTACAGATAGCTTGGCCTTGATGAAGCTTCTGTTCAGAAATGAAGTTTATACAGTGTAATTTTATCTTTTAATTCCAATTTTCCCATGAAAAGACCCTCTGGGATCTTGGTGGACAGTGGTGAAAAATCAGGGCAAAACAGGTAAACTAACCCTTACCAAAGCTGTAATGTAAGCCTAGTGAGACTGTCTTATGTGTAATTCTAACTTAGACATCCCTGGGATCCTTGAAAATTAGGATTCTCTAGTTGGAGTCAAAGGAGATACAGATGCATAATTTAATTTTTTTTTGAGGAGGGAAGACTTGCTGTTAATAGAGTGAAAGTTGACAGAACAGATCATCAGTTTCACACTCAACAAGCCACACACTTTGTTTCATCTCAGTAATTACAGTCCCCTCCATGTAACCACAGTTGTCCCATGGCCTCCCTCCTCTCTCCCATTCTTTCTCAAGTTTGTCCTTAGGTAAATATTGCCCTTTTGGTCTTAAATGGTTGAGCATTCCGTGGTGCGCATACCTTACTACTGTTGTTGATCCTCCTTATATTCCTGTCAACCTGTTAGCTGAAAATTGGACCTTCCAGATCTGAATGGTGGCTGAGAGCCATAGTCTTAGGTTCCACCAGTCTTTCTTTTCCTGACCAGTAATCCTGGTCTTTTGGTGTAATGTAATGTTTAAAAACAAACAAACAAAAAACCTAATTATCTTTTAGTTCTCAATTTGGATATTTGAGGTATTTGGCATGTGAGTATGTATATTACTGTGTATAAATGTTGTCGCTGTGTTCACTGTAAAAGCCTAGAAACAATAAACCTAGTTGCAATACGCTTTCCTAGTGCCCAAACTGTGGTTTTGAAACATCATTTCCCACTAATAGTAGCAAGGATGCCTTACGGAAGCGATTCCAGGCTGGGTGCAGAAAATGTACAAGTTGAAACTGTACCATCTTGCCATTTTGGAGGATAAGGAAACCCACACAGACTATTCTTGTAAGAAGCTCTTGTCAAAAGGATTTTTGAAACAACTGGACACTCCTCTTGGTCCAAGATGGGACAGTTTGGACAGCACGAAGGAAAATACCCACAGAGGATTAAAACATATCAAATAATATCCATGAGTTCATAGTAATGCAGAAACTCGTTTGGTTACCTATGGGAAGATGTTAGAGAAACTGCTGAAGAATATATCTAAACTGCCTCTGTTGTATGAATGGTACCATTGGGTAACCAAATCATTGATGAAATTAGATTTCTCTTTATAGAATTATTCCAACAAGTAAGTAAGAGGAATGATGGGATTGGAATATATCAGCATTTATGCCGTCCGTCTTCCAGAGAGTGAATACATCTAGACATTGAGCCAAGAAAGACAACTGAAGAACTCAGTGCTTTTTCATGGAAGTCAACCTAGGAAGTGGTCTTAACAGAATGCAAACTGGAATTTGATTATGTCCCTAGAGCAAGGGCTAGCAATTTCCCCCTCCCCTCACTGTGAAGGACCAACTAATAGATAATTTAGCAATTGGAGGCCAAATACTCTGTCAAATCTCCTTCAGTTATGCCTTTGTAGCATGAGAACAATCTTTACATGCATGAGCAGCTATGGCTGTGTTCCAATAAAACTTTACTTACAAAGCAAGCAGTGATTTGTTGCCTTCTACACCTAATGACAACAACAAAGCTCCAGATTCAACTCCTGATTTATTGAAAAGACAGATGACAGAAACACTGTGTAAACTCTACTGCAGGTATGCAGATTCAAGACCAGGAAACTAGTACACATGCAGGGCTTTCTTTAGCAAATAACTCACAAAAGGAAATTATATGTAGATAAGAGAATTTAAAACATAGGCAAAACTATCCCATATTTGTTAGGGAAGCAGACAGATGATACTGAAGGAAATTAAGGAAAATTGGATAAGATTTAGGTTTTGGTGAGGTGGGTGTAAAAAATATACTTTTGATACAGGATGAGTTAGAGACATTTCATAAGAACTTGTAAGAATTCTCCAAGGCACCCAACTAATGCCTTTTAAAGTTAAAGAGCATCAGAAAAGAGGAAGACCCCCAACAAGAAGGCCTGGCACAATGGCTGCAACAGTGGGCTCAAATAGACGCACAATTGTGAGGATGGAGTCAGACCAAGTGGTATTTGGTTCTGTTGTACATAGGGTTGCTATGAGTTACAGTTGACTTCATGCCACCTGACACACTGTAATCATAGGAAACTTTGAGGAAAAAGCATATGCAAACAATCATAAATTGAGTCTATGACAAAATAAGGCTTAATATTTGAAGTAGTTTCTTTAAAGTGAGCATCTTATTTTTGGCCCAGAAATGTACAAGATTTTTTAAAAGATAATTTAACACACACACACGATTTTTTTCCTTTTCATTTGAACTGATGGGGTTTCACTTTTCCTATTCTTTCAATTGTCCTAGTCTTCTTACCAGATCATCTACATAGCGAGATGATACTCAAGTTAGCTTCTCTTTGAAGGTTAACTGGAACTCCTGGAGTTTTCCTGCTATTGAAAACAAAAGCTCAGTGATTGGAATAACTAATCCCAATTAGTGAATTGACAAAGTTCAGTGCTTTCTCCAAACTGACTTCTAGTCGGTAGTTGCCTGTGGCTTCGATTTTACTGGCAGAAGCTAAGCATTCTTCCTTTCTTCCCCAGGGGTTCAGAAGGAACTTTAAATGACTGCAGGGTGATATTCACAGACGAAATCTTCAAGATTGAGAAGCCTGGAGCCCACCCGCTCTCATTTGCAGATGGAAAATTCCTAAGTATGAATTTTTTTTCTAGTCTAATAGAGATGTGCCACAAAACGGACATTTTCGCTGGTCACTAAATAACTTGGGACAATGTCCAAAATTGTAGACCCAACTGACTTATTTTCAATACGAAGGTTTTAATGCCATATCCATTTTGGGTAACGAGTTTTTCTCAAATGATAAAGTTTAGTTTTTAAAGAAATGTTTTTTCAGCTTGACATTTTATTGACATTGTTTTGCTGTTTGTCAAAAGTAGGGGAAAAAACATTTCAGTTATTTTGTGGTTACGCGAGGATAATTTTTGAAATAACGACTTAATTTTGTACAAATGGAACCTAAGAGTATTAGTGCTGATTGAACCTGGAATTTCTGGGAGATAATAAGTGGGGAATTATATCATTATTAAAGTGCTACAATGTAATGCTACCTTTTTCTTCCTGCTTGCTTACTATCTCATAGATTTCTAGACCTTTTTACTCATAGGTCAACAGTTGCTGCCTTTCCAAATAGATGTTCTTGTCAGTTATGGTCAAGTCAGTGTCAGTTCATGACAACTCCGGATGTGTGGAGAATCTCATTGTTTCTTAATTTTGAATTTTTTGTGGAGAGCATGTGCTAATGTTTGTTAAAAGACAGCTCAGAGTGCAAACCTATTTCTTGATCTGTTACTGATATATAAAACCTCCTCCTACCACGGTTGTACAAGAACAAGACAAGTCCTTTAACAGATCAGTAAATACTTTTCCAGGTTCCCAATCTAGGCAACTCTTAGTTTTTGAGACAACACAACTAATTATGATGGTAGTGGTGGTTGTGTCGGGTTGAGTTGATCTGACTCATAGCAACCCTGTATAGGGTTTCGAAGACAATAAATCTTTATGAGAACAGAAATCCTCATCTTTCTCCTGTGGAGCAGTTGGTGGATTTGAACTGCTGATCTTATGGTTAGCAGCCCAACACATAACCAACCGCATGGAGATTTAGATTTTTAAAGTCTAAGAAGCATGGTGGATCTGTAGGATATTGGACTGTGAGCCTGAAGGTCAGTAGTTCAAGCCCACTAGTTGCTCCACTGGAGAAAAATAAAGGTTTCTGCTTCTGCAAAGAGTCACAACCTCAGAAACCTTACACAGGATTGTTGTGAGTTAGGGACTGACTCAGTGTTACTCAGAAACAACCAGAAGTATAGATTTAGCCTTGTGGTCTTTAGTCGTTAGAGTTTTCGCTAGCATATTCCTGGGTCCTGTTCCTGAATTTCTGCCTCAGTAAGTCTAGGATGAAATGTCAGGCATTTCTTCTTCAAGTTCCACACTTGATTATTCCTTTGGTTCTCTTCATTTAAAAAGCCACTTGCTATTTACAGTGTTCTTGAAGGATTTACAGCTGTAAAAATGATCCCAAGACCAGGCTTGCTATCCCTTTATTCTCACTAGGGAAAAACGACCCTGAATGTAACCTGTGTGGCGGGGACCCAGACAAGAAATGCCGTTCTTGCTCCTGCCATATATGTGGTGGAAAACACGACCCCAGCATGCAGCTGCTGTGTGATGAGTGCAATTTGGCCTTTCATATTTACTGCCTGGATCCACCTCTGGATAAGATCCCAGAAGAGGACTACTGGTAAGATCGGTCCTACCAGGATTATCTTTTGATGGTATTATGTTAAGAATTGAATGGGAAAGATGTATTTCACCCATCAAAAGTAGATTTCTAAAAAGCATGATGTGTATTAAAATGCTCAGGATGCTATTGCCAGTGGTCACTTGGTGTTGGTATACTTGTTTCTTCCTGCACCAGCTTCTGAACAGGTCTCCAGCTCCTTGTCTGTTCTTCCCAAACTGAAGGCCCATTATGGTATTCCTTGGCTTTTGAAGCTCTGTGATGCCTTCCAGAACTTTGCATGATTCTATTAAGTCCTGTTCCTTTTCTCCTCGGCACTTTCACACTGGGCACATTTTTAAAGAAATACTTTCTTTCTTGTGTAACTAGCTTTAGGACCATGCTCATCCTTAAGCTTTTCATTTCATCATGACTTCCTCGGGGAAGCCTTTGCCCAGCTAGGTGAGCTGCCCCTGCTTGTTGGTGCAGTGGAAAGGTCACCAACTGCTGTATGGGGGAAAGATGTGGCTGTCTGCTTCAGTAAAGATTTACCACCTTGGAAACCTCTGGAGCTTATTGGGTTGCTAAGAGCTTGAATTGATTCAACAGCAGTGGGTTTGGTTTTATTCTGATAATATTAAGCATTTAATAATACATGCTAGGCAGCACTGGTGTGGCATGCTGTAGGATAAGTACTGCACCCAGAGGTTAGTTGAACCTCAGGGTCGGTGGTTCAAACTCAACCAGCCACTCCTTGGAAACCCTATACAGGGTTGCTTTGAGTTGGAACCGACTCAACGGCACTTAGCAACAAAAACAAGGCAGCACTGTAGGATAAGCACTGGACTGCTAACCACAAGGTTAGCAATTCAAACCCAGCAGCCACTCCTCATAAAACTGTATATAGGGTTACTATGAGTCAGAACTAACTCAGTGGTACTTAACCAATAGCAAGGCACAAACAAGTACGTACTTTAGATGCATTCTTTTCTTTAGTTCTCTGAGGCAGGTAAGTACTAGATCAATTATACTTGCTAAAGCCTATACTTCTATTGATTAAACGAGAATGGCAAAATAGGCCCACCAAGTTTTAATGACCTTTTGACTGCCATATTAAGGAGGGTGGGAATTTTGGTTTTACTTAGACAATATGAGCCATGTGCTATCACTGACGGCTTTTAAGTAAGAGGAATGATGAAACCGGAATAGTGATGCTACAAAGGGGTAGCTGATAATAGCACTGTGCACTTTGAAGACTACACTGTTCTTTGATCTCTCCTCAACCTACCCGGAAGGTTATGTTAGGTCAGAGAGAAAGACAGAACTTCTTTTCCTCCCCAACCAGCATAGTACCTAATCACACCCTGAACTTTCCACCCACCCCGTAACTGTGTTTTTCATGAAGTCTTGTTTTTCCTCCCTCTTGTTGCAAACCCTTCCACCTGCTCTCAGAGTTTTATATCTTATTGCCTCCTGTTGTAAATTCCTCTTTTATTGCCTTACTAGGTCTCTCAGGAGCATCCCTAGAACCTCTTGAGTTTCTTCATTCTTAAGCACAGTGCACACACACACCCTCTTTGATCCCGTTTCTCCCACCAGTGGCCTCTCCTGTTTCTCTGCTCCATTCTCATGGCAGAGCTTCCAGTCTTCCCTGCCTTCCATATTTCCCCAAAATCTGCTCACCAAGGGCCATGGGCACTTTCTGTGTTCCCACTTATTCACTTTTGACTGTACTGCTAAGTGCTTACAAACAAACTTTTTTATAGAATTGATGATATCACAGTATCCTGGCTTTCTTGTTACTTCGTGGACTTTTCCTTCTTAGTCCCTTTGTTTGCCTTCACATACCAAATTTCAAAATGCTGGAGTTCCCCAAGCACCTGGACCTACTTCTTTTCTTGATCTGTATTTGCTCCCTAGATGACCTTATTCAATTGTGAGTCTTTGAATACTAAGCCCATAGCTCCAAATGTGTCTTTGGCGCTCCTGAGCTTATTCTTATGTCCCTCTGTGTGTCTAAATGATGGATTCCGTAAGCATCATCCCTCCCAGCCGGCCTGTCTTTCAGGCTTCAGACGGTAGTACCATTATTTCATCTACTTGATCACGTAGGATAGCTAAACTTTGTTCATGGTTGCCTCCTTTGCCTCCTCACACGCTCTGCATCCAGTATGTCAGCTCTCCATCTCGTTCTCAACTCTGAACAGTCCAAATCATCTGTTACCTGAGCTGCTGTAAGATGCCTCACAAGTCTGTTTGTTTCCACATTGCCCACCAGCTCTCCTTTCTCCCATAGCTACTAGAATCATCTTCATAAGTCCTGAAACACAGCACTCGCCTCCTAGGAAACCCTGTCATTTATAGACTTTAGCAAGTAGAATATAGACTTAGCAAGCAGTACTTCGGCTCTATCGTAGACTCAATAGCACACACCCATGGGATCTTCTTATTGCACTTAGAACGGAATCTAAACCCTGACTGTTCATGTCCTGGCCCCTGCTACTTCTGTAACCAAATTACTTCATCACTCTTCTACTTACTTGAACCCTGGTTGTTTACATTGGTTTGTTAACCTCAGTGTTGGCAGTTCAGACTCACCGTTTGCTCTTTGGGAGAAAGATGAGGCTTTTTGCTCTGTACTCCACTTTTTACTTCACTGCTCAATGCTTACTCCCCTTGAAATTCCCTATACACAGTTCATGGATAAGAGGGTTTTTTTGTTTTTTATTGCTTGTTCTTTTAAAGAGGATACCATTTCCCACCGCTTATAACATAATGTGGCACTGTGGGTTAATGCTGTGGACTGCAAAGTTGGTTTGAACCGCAGACTCACCAGCTATTCCTCAGAAACCCTATATACAGTGTCACTATGGGTTAGAACTGACTCAGCGGCACTTAACAACAACAATAACAACATGACATAACCATGATGATGTATTTCCCTCGTGGTACTTAACTTCTTTCCGAAATCCATATGTACTCGTTTTCCTTAATTCAGTTTAAGACCATATTGATCACAAGCTTTTATACCCAGCACCAGAATAGTATTCAGCACACAATAGGTTCTGAACTAACCTGTTTGAAGGGGGTTGAGTGTCTGGGATGACTTCGGGGTGGTGATGTAATCAGAAGACTGTCTGACATCACCCTCTGGGGTACCTCTGCTGCATCTCACACATCTTCACTGCCCCTGTGCACCCTTGACCTGAAACCGACTTTCCTGCTTCACTGTATCATGTTGTCTGCATATTCAAATTCTGAACTCATTTTCTCATCAGAATACCTGTATTAATCACAAGATGGTTGATAAAATTATAGTTAAAAAGGTTGGCTTAATTGGTCAAATATAATCTTTCTTAGAACAGATTATATTTTGGAAGTCTTCCTGATTTCCCAAGAAGAAGGGATTTTAATTTTCTAGTATTTAGTGCCTTCTTATAATTTTGCTGTAAATTTATTTATGTCTTATACCTTATCTCCCCAACTCATTTTCTTCAGGTAGGAACTGAAATTTATCTTTTTGTCTTATCTATTTTCTATGTGGTTTTGTCTCCTACAGTTGTAAGCACGATACTCATCATTAAAACCTCAAACCCGTTGCCGTTGAGTTGATTCCAACTCATATCAACCCTATAATTTCGTAATTGTTGTTAAGTGCCGTTATAACCCTATAACGACTCTGTATAGGGTTTCCAAAGAGCAGCTTGGTGGGTTTGAACTGCTGCCCTTGCTTGTCCCACAGTGCCACATCAGGACAGTTGACTGGTATGCATAGATGCCATCCTCTGTGCTGTACAGACCACATGGAATTAAGAAATGGAAGGCACAGACCCAGAATTCAAGGCCAGAGTGAGGCATGATCAGACCATCCTGAGCATGGCCCCAAAATTTCCCTTTGTTGGTCACACAAGAGCAGCCTGCCTCTTTCTATAGATAACAGTTTTACCTTACAGTGTTAGGAATGATTTCAAGCAGGTCATAGCAACAGGCAAGTTAGAGTAGAGTTCTCTGACTGCAAATATACTAAGGACAAATACGTATAGTACATTAAAACTGAGCTAGAGATAAGGTTAATCACATTTTTAAATCTGTATACGTGTTATACTGTATACGTCTCCTACTTTGGACATATTGTCCGGAGGAAACAGTCGCTGGAGAAGGATGTCATGCTGGGTAAGGTGGAGGGTCAGAGAAAAAGAGGAAGACCCCTAATGAGATGGATTGGCCAGGTGGCATCATTGATGGACTCAAGTGTGCCAGGGGTAGTGAGGTTGGCCCAGGATCGGACATTGTTTCGTTCTGCTGTGCATGGGCTCGCTATGAGTCGGTTCCGACTCGATGGCACCTGACAGCAACAACATACATGTTATAATAGACTGTACATTTTAAATCGTGAGAATTCTAATGACAAGTTCAGATGGGGAGATGTAGCCATTGTACCTGAGTTCAGCGTTGAGTCTAGAAGCATCTGCTTTTGCTAGCCGTAACAGTGAAATCTTCAAATGAATAATGTTTATTCTCCAGATCAGTGATAAAATCAGAATTCATGGTGTCTGACAGCTTCATCTGGCTTTTGAATTGAATGTGAGGATTTATGATACTCTGGCAGCCTAACCGTGTCACTATTTTGAAAAGTTTAACTTGTAATGCCAGCTGAAGCTCTGTAATATAGGCACAGGCAGGCAGTCCCCAGGTTACAAACATCTGACTCACACCAATTCTCAGTTAGTCTTACTTTCCCTTTACTATGATGCAAATTTGCCCTCAATCTGAATTTGAAAGATTGAATAATATAGTTAATTGTTATCACTGATACTTGTATAAATAGTTGGGTTTCCATGTTATTCACATTTTATGGGTATTAATGGAGTCCTGCTGTGGCGCTGGGGGTTAAGGAACTGGACTGCCTATATTAAACAGTGAATCTAAAGGTAATCTATCCTGGCAAGACATACTCTGTTACTGGCTCTGATATGTGCCTTTTTTTTTTTTTTTTTTTAAGGTACTGCCCTTCCTGTAAAACTGATTCCAGTGAAGTTGTGAAGGCTGGCGAGAGACTTAAGATGAGCAAAAGGAAAGCAAAGATGCCATCTGCTAGTACTGAAAGCCGGAGAGACTGGGGCAGGGTAGGGGAAATTCTCCTTCTTTGTAGCAAATTAGAATGTTCCATTGCGATAGCAGTTCATGGTGTAAAAGAGTAAACAGTGTAGTTCATGTTCATCAGCACTACTACATATGTAAATAGTTGGGTTTCTATTTGGTTGACATTTTGTGAGTCTGAGGGCTTTCTTTCAAGTAGAAACCTGACTGGTTTCCTGCCTTGTTTTGTGACTTTCAGGGAATGGCCTGTGTTGGTCGGACTAGAGAATGTACCATCGTCCCCTCCAATCACTATGGACCCATTCCGGGCATTCCTGTGGGCTCAACTTGGAGATTTAGAGTTCAGGTATGTTTTTAAATTGGGTTCGTTGGTAGGGGAAGTTGAATAAAAATGCATTACTATCTATGGATGATAAATGGACTAATCTAGCTAGTGGTGCTGGCCATTAATAGAGGCGCTTATGCCACGGAGTTAGACATCAGTCTGCCTTTGCATGCTTTTGGTTCACTGGTCTAGTGCAGTTAAACTAGCTAACATTATGATTAAGCATTTTTCTTGCCAACAACTCAATATTTGAAATACTACATTTTTTCTTTGAGTCTTGGAAGTAGTACTCATTTAATGTCATTGAATCCTAATAATGTGTTTTCTATGGCTGAAAGCAGAGAATACTGGAAAGATGTTTACATGTGCTCTGTTGACTGTGCAAAGGCATTTGACTATGTAGGTCATAACGAATTATGGATGCCATTGCAAAGAATAGGAATTTCAGAGCACTTAATTGTGCTTGTGAGAAACCTACACATAAGCCAAGAGGCAGTCATTCAAATAGAACAAAGGGATACAGTGCAGTTAAAATCAGGAAAGGTGTGTGTCAGAGTTGTATCCTCTCACCATATTCATTCAGTCTGTATGCTGAGCAAAGTATCTGATAAGCTGGATTATGTGAAGAAGAACATGGCATCTGGACTGAGAACTTGTTAACAACCTGTGACATGAAGATGACACAACCTTGCCTACTGTCAGCAAAGAGGACTTACACCGTTTACTGATGCACATCACAAACTGTAGCCTACAGTATGGATTAAACATAACAAAACTGCTTCTCTGAAACGTCTACCAAATGTGTACCACACTACCACATTACTATTATTACAAGGAACCAGGATGGAGAGATACAGTAATTTTGTGTTTGTTCTTACAAAAACTATTTAGGGAAGCCTAGAGTTTGGCACGGTTCTGTTTTATATAGTGTCGCTATGAGATGGTACCGACTCGATGTCATCTAACAAGAATTTGGCAAAACAAATCAATATATTAATAGAAGTCTTGGACTTGATACATTAAGCAGTTGAGAATTCTAAGCAGAATAGTTCTTAAAAGAATGATTTTGTTTGTGATGAATAGAATGGATTTGAAGGAGCACAGCTGGAGGCAGTGAAGCAGGGTTTGTGGTAAGCAGCCATATCTCACATTAAGAATGTAGCAATGAAGGTAGAAACTGCTGGATCTCAGAGACTGAAAAGGTAGAATCTGCAGCGCTTGTCATCTATAGATTTGGGGGAACAAGTGTAGGATGACTGCAGGGTTTCTGGCTTGGCCAGCTGGGCAGGAAATAGAGGGGAGAAGAGATCTGGAGTACTGATAATATATTCTGTTTTATCAAGTTGAGTGGAAGTATGAAGAGACATACTATGAGGCTTCTTTCATTGTTATTAGAAGCTCAGAATTCTGGGCAGGAACAGTTTTAGAAATCACCAGCTCACTTATTTTCTAGTGCTGCTATGAAGAGAAATCCAATGTCTCACAGTTTAAGGGAGCAGAGATCTGAATGCAGGGTGTCAACTCTCCAGGAAGACTTTCTCTTTATCTGCTCTGGGGGAAGGTCTTTGTTCCCTGGTGATGGTCATGTGGGCTGGTATCTATCTTGCCCCAGTGGTGCTTCCTTGTTGAATCTGCTTTTATATCCCAAAAAGAGAGGGTCTAATCCTGCCTCATTAGCATAACAAAGAAAACCCACTCCCAGAGGGGATTATAACCTCAGGTATAGGGGTTAGGCTTTACAGCACATGTTTTGGGGGGAACAGTTTAAGCCATAACATTATCTAAGTGGGGATATACCTTGGGAGAACTTAGTGAAAGTGAACGACAGTTCTCTGGGTGAGCTCCAGGTCTTGGTTGGGGAACTTTAGGATCCAGTGCTTGCACTTTGGAAATATCATTTAGCTGCCTGTTGAGCAGTGCCAGTGAGACTCTTTTGCTTGTTTTTTAGGTGAGCGAAGCTGGTGTCCATAGGCCCCATGTTGGTGGAATTCATGGTCGAAGTAATGATGGGGCTTATTCTCTCGTCCTAGCTGGTGGATTTGCAGATGAAGTAGTAAGTCATCATACAGCCTGGGTCTTTAAAACATGTCTTGGTCACTTGGGAAAATAGAGGAGCTTTGTCTAAGGATACATCAAAATCTGTCTCTTTGTTGAAGCAGTTACTTCTTCAAGTTAGAAAGTACATCTTTAATAGTCTTTAATTGTTATATGTACTGGTTTGATGTAGGTATTTGGTAACTAATTTTTACAACAAAAATACATTTTCTAGGAAGATTTTTTTCATCAAACTTAAAAAGTTTGAAATAATTACAGTCACATGTAGCTCTAAGAATTAATTAATACAGAAAAATCCATGTACTCTTTACCCAATTTGCTCCAATGGTAACATCTTGTAAAGCCGCAGTACAAAACCACACCCACCAGGATGGTGAAATTGATACCGTCGTCAGGAGTCTGTACGTTTCCATCGCCACAAGGACCCCTCGTCTTATACTTTAGGTGTCCGAATTGACTGTGGCAGTGGGCTTGGTTTGTGTTTTTGACACCCACTCTCACCTTAACCCTGGCAACCATTGATTTTTTCTCAATTTCTACAATTTTGTCATTTCAAAAACTTTCTAAGCGTGGCACTCCCATTTGACATTCCCAGTAACAATGTATGAATGATCCAGTTTCTCCACATCCTTACCAGCAAATGGTGTTACTATTTGTTATTGTAGCCATTCTCGGAGGTGTGTAGTGAGATCTCATTGTGTTTGGTGCAGGCCCCTGATGGCTGATGAAAAGGAACCCCAGTGACACCGTAGTTACCCTTAGGGGCTAACAGGTGCGGGAACCAAACCTACCTGCCCCTGTAAGGGAGAAGGATATGACAATTAAAGATTACTGCCTAGAAAATCCTAGGAGAGTCTTCTGGTCTGTCCTACAGTTGATATTGGCTTGATCACAATGGGTTTTTGTTTTGTTTTTAATGGCCATTGATGTTAGTCATCATTCTTTGCTTATTTTCCATTTGTATGCAAGATCATTGTATACAAGAGAGTGAACTTTGCCGGAGCATTCCTGTATGTTGAATGCAGACCATGTCCCCAAGGTAACTGAGGGTGGTGACTTAAATCACACTCTCTAGTAACTTGAGGACATTAATTCAACACTAATTCTTGTTGTTGTTGTTAGTTGCCATTGAGGATGCACAGGAGAACAAAACACTGCCCAGCCCTGGGCCACCCTCAGTATTGTTGCCACGCTTAAGTCCATCGATGCTGCCACTTGGCCAATCCATCTCGTTGGGGGTCTTCCTCTTTTTCTCTGACCTTCCACCTTAACAAACATGATATCCTTCTCCAGTGACTGGTCCCTCCTGACAATATGGCCGAAGTATGAGAGAAGAAGTTTGGCCATCCTGATCTCCAAGGAGCACTCTGGCTGCACTTCTTCCAAAACAGATCTATGGGTTCTTTTGGCAGCCCATGGCACTTTCAATATTCTCCTCCAGCACCATAACTCAAATGCATCAATTCTTCTACAGTCTTCCTTATTCACTGTCCAACTTTCGCATGCATATGATGTGATTGAAAATACCATGGCTTAGGTCAGGCGCACCTTAGCACCCAAACTGACATACAAGCTCTTCAACATTTTAAAAAAGGTCTTGTGCAGCAGATTTACCCAATGCAATACGTCATTTGATTTCTCGACTGCTGCTTCCATGAGTATTGATAGTTGATCCAAGAAGAGTGAAGTCCTTGACAACTTAATCTTTTCTCCGTTGGTAAGAATGTTGTTTATTGGTCTAGTGGTGAGGATTTCTGTTTTCTTGACATTGAGATGTAATCCATTCCGAAGGCTGTGCTCTTTGATCTTCATCAGTAAATATTTTAAGTCCTCTTCACGTTCAGCAAGCAGGGTTGTATCATCTGCATATCGCAGGTCTTCCTCCAATCCTGATGCCATGTTTTTCTTCATAGAACCCAGCTTCTCAGATTATTTGCTCAGCATAA